GTTCTTGAATGGTGATGCCAGTTCTAGACCTCTTTGGTGGTCTAGGTGTTTCAATCCTTTTTCCTTTAGCTTCTCTAGACAGTTTAGGAGGCATGTTCTTTACAAAATTGATTGCTTTGAAGCTTTGAAACTCATTCAGAAATTTTATTGAACACCTGGTGTGCAACCCCAAAAGTGTTAAAGAGAAAAACCTATTTTGATCTTCAATCCTCCCCAAAATCAACAACACAATGCAAATATACTTTCCCCAAGTATAATCAAGCTTCAATCTCTTCAATCAAATCAAATGATTAACCAATCCTCGAAGGTTTTAATTCCAAACTTCATGAACTTCATTGAAACCCATTTTGCAATTTTCAACTTTCAATCTTCTTACAACTTTTACAATCTTTGTTGTTAATCTCTAATGATCACTAACCAATCAATGTTATGGTATGGAATAATGATAAAGATGTAAGATATATGATGTTTATATATGTGTATATATGAAAAAGTGAGAGAGTGCAAGAGAGATGGAGTGTGGTATGCACAAATGAGGCCTGAAACATGATTTAAATCCCAAATCTCGTGTTCTTGAACCGGTTTAGCCCTCTTGAATCGGTTCAAGAAAAGGTTTGAACCGGTTCAAGAAGGGCAGTGCACAAGACTTGAACTGATTCCACAATCTTGAACCGGTTCAAGATGGACAGTTTCTTGATCATGGCCAAATGACAAGCTTGAACCGGTTCATGTTCCATTGAACTGGTTCAAGACCTCCAGCCTTGAAACTACAGTGTATTTTTGAAAAAAAAACTTTTCCAATTACTTTCCAGAAATTTTAACACATCGGTGATAAAAACAAACAACAAAAACAAACTAAAACCTAAAAATCAAAATCTTTTTGAATTTTCCAAAATCAATTTTTTTAAAAATCAACTAAAAACAAAATCACCAATCATTAAAATCATCCAGTCAACACATGATACAAAACCCTTTCAGAGAATTTTAAGATTATCTTAGAGAACAAATATTTGACTCCACATATTTTTCAACTAATTTCAAATCTCAGAAAGTAATCACAACATAAAATCAAACTCGTAAAATTTACTAAAAAGTTTAGAAATTAATCTAGCAAGTTCAAGTGTGTGTGTGAAATCCAATCTAATCCATCTTCAGTCGAATTTCAACAAATCATTGTCTAAACCTTATTGATCGAAAAGCATCAAGATAAAATTATTTTGAGCAAATTTTTATTTTTATTTTTTTTATTTTTATTTTTTTTAAGCAAGGCAGCTTTCACTCTAAAAACTAGTCAGCAATTCCCCAACTCAACTTATCTCCACTTTGCGCTTCAATTCACAGTTTAATGGGAGCTTTTGATTAAATCTCAATATGTAACTTTTTCCTTAGCAACTTATTCAACATATTTTATTTTATTTTTTTTTCTTCTTCAAGCTGAAATTTTTTCCTTTTGTTTTTTAGCTCCTATTTTGTTTAAACAATAACCTTTATAGCTTTTGTAAACAATAAAACCTAGTCAACACATCAGAAGATTTTCAACCAAATTTATCAAAGTTGGACAAGTGCACAAATGTTTATAAACTTAAGAAATTCAAATCTAAACATCCCCTAAACAATGCAAATTATCTTTCAATGTATAGATTATAGAATAAGAATCTATTTTTATTCAAATTATCATGTGTCTCAATTTGCATTCAAAGATAGATCATAAATTCTTCAAAAGAATTTTCACATGCATATCAAGAAGATTATGATCAGTAAATCAAACCCTAACAAGTGATCCAATGGCTAAAAATGTTTTTTTCTACACAAACCATGATCACTATATTTTGTAGAACTCAGTTTGAGGGTGAAGTCCTCTTGGACACTTGTTCCAAGGACTCAACAGGCACATAATTAATCAAATAAGACTTTTTGATCCATACAATTCTCACTTTCACTTCCTGAAATTCTTTTTCCCTCTTTACCTCTCTCTCAGGCAAAATTTTAGTTCTGGAAACCTTAGGTGCCAATTTCTTTTTCCCTTTAGAAAGCACCTTGTTCTTTACATGCAAATTTTGAGAATCAATTTTAGAAACATCTTTTTTTTTTCCTGTGAAGACATGAGTTATACATATGTCCATTTTTTTCACAAAAAGTGTAATGCAACAATTTAGGCACATAAGACATATCAGAATGTGATACAACAGACAAATATGATTTAGGCATAGTAGCAAGTCTAACAAACTTTGTTTTACCTTGATTACTAGAAGAACTTTTAACAAATCCTAACCCTGTTTTATCATTCACATCATTACCCATGTTAATTATCTTATTCAAACTATTTTAACTCATATTAAACCCTTTCAGTTTATCTTTTTCAGATTTCAATTCAATTTCAAGATAATCATTATTCAAAGCAAGACATTCCTTTAATAAGTTAGTAACACTTACCTTATCCTCAAGAATGATAATTTGTTTCTTAAGCTCAGTGATGACAGACTTGTTTTCAACAGCCTTCCTTTTGCTTTCAGCAATCTATTTCTTGAGATCTTCATTCTCTCCTTTTGCTTGGATGAGCTCTTTTGCCAGCTTATTAATTGCCTGTTTTAGTCTCAATAGTTTCTTTGACTATCTTCTTCAGTCTTTCATCGTCCTTTTCAGCCTCTTCAACCTGTCCATCATGGACTTCATTATCTGAACTGTCAGAATCACATAAATGAACAACATGAGGACCCTTATTAAGAAAAGCGACATAAGAAAAATTATTAGTATCATCTTGAGGATAATCACTATCGCTCAAAGTAATATTTTCAGACATAGAAACTTTTATTATTTTTCCTTTAATCCTATTCTTTTGTTCTTTCTTAGGACTAGGACAAACATTGGATGCATGACCTTTACCACCACAATTCCAACAAATGAATTCAGTTTCTTTTTATCCTTCTACTTTCTTTTCATTAAACCTAATCTTTGACGTCTTGTCAAAATTTTGAGGATTAGCCATATTACTAATCCTTCTCCTATGTTGCCTTTGCAAAATCTGACTGAATTGCCTTGACAAGAATGCAAAATCATCATCAAAGTTGTCATCCACATAATTCTCAACCTGTGTAGATTTCAAAGCAAGATTTTTCTTTTTCTGACTTAAATTAAAATTCTGTATCTCAAAAGTTTTTAATGAACCTACCATCTCATCAACTTGACAAGTAGCCAAATCCCAATGTTCAGAGATGGTTTCAACCCTAATCTGAAATCTTTTAGGTAAAGACCTTAAGATTTTCTCATAGATTTTTTTATCACTAACTTTTTTCCCTAAGTGACGCAGTTCAGAAATTATTTCAAGAAGACTTGAATAAAAGTCAGAAAATGATTCATCTTCTTTCATCACAATGTTGCCAAATTTAGGAGAAAATAACTAAATTTTGGACAACTTCACTTTTGAAATTCCTTCATGAGTAACCTGCAAAATATCCCAAGCTTCTTTAACAGTTTTACAATAAAAAATTCTAACATATTCAGATGGAACAACATAATTAATAATTGAATATAATGTTTTGCCATTAGCATCATTACGCTTAGTTTCAATAGCAGTAAAAGCAAAAGTGTCTTTTAACTCTTTGACTATTTTACCGTCCATAGTTGTATCTATTGTAGGTAGTGTATAGCCAGTTTCAACTATTGCCCAAGTTGTACCACCAAAATTTTACAAATAAGCTCTCATCTTTGATTTCCAAAAATTGTAATTATCTCCTTCAAATAAAGGACCATGTTGATTAGAACTGCCTTCTTTCAACGCATAAGACATGATTAAAACAATTTTTGAAAAAAAAAAAACTAAACTTTCCAACAAAGATCAACTCAATGTATAGAGATTGACTTTGATACCAATCTGTGAGTCGTACGCAGCGGAATGTATACAGGAAAGTTTTAGGTTTTGTAAAACAAATCTGTGTCGTTGCCAACTTTACTTATTTTAGTAGTTAGATAATTAATTGCATGCAGTAAAATAAAGCAAAGTATAAAGTAAGAGATGACACTAGGATTTTAGCGAGGAAATCCCAATTGATAAAATACGTCAACTGTAATGGGAAAAATCTCGTGGACTTGTGCAATCCAAAAATCAATCCACTATGCTTGAAACAAAGTATACCGAACTTTGACTCTAGCTCACACCCTATCATTCTACACCACACCAACCGCTGACGATCCTCTGGCTTTGCGACTCCCCGTCCAACAGCAACTCGACGTCAAACTTACACTTAATATTCGTAGAAGAGTAACAGGTAGATCAGACAGCACTCCACGAATGCTCCAACCTTTTCAAAGTGTGACTGTGTTTACTTCTATTCTTCAATCGTTTGAATGATATCGAAGAAGATCTGTTTCATCTGATCGATGTTAATACGCCTATATGATCACGATCAAGATTTGAACACCACAACTCTAAACTCTGTGTTTATGTATATGTGTTCTAGAAAGATATCAGAAAAATCAACTCTGATTTTCTGCAAAAATAATCTTTCTAAGGCTTTTAATAATATTTGAATAATAATGTAAAAGCCGTCCATAAACCAATGTATATGACATGGTTTATATAGAGTATAGAATGACCTAATCCCTCTGAAAATAAGGTAAATTTCGTGCATAGGATTTGGTACAATTCTAGACCAACTGGGAAATACTTCAGAAAAAGGAAACTGAAGTTGTATTGCAAACAAGACATCTTGAACCGGTTCAAGGAAGCTAAACCGGTTCAAGTTTGGCTGAACTGGTTCAAAGTTGGCAGACATAAATATTCAAATTCTTTCATCCTTGTTTCATTTTACGGAAATTTCAGACCAACATAGTAACCGTAGAATGTCCAATCTTGTTCATATTCCTTCCTATAATGGTGTTCTTACCCTTTTCTTCAAAAACTCTTCAAATATGGTAAGTTCAAACCTCTTCCCAATTCTGTAGTCCCTGTCGATCTCGATGACTTGTAAAACAAGTATTACAACTCAACTTGGACCGGTTTGTCTACGATAATTGCCAAAATATAAATTAATATTTCACAAGAACTTCCTTTTTCGACTTTGTTAATTTGTCAAACGAATATTGATACAAATATTTTCTTGTCATTGACTTTTTTTTTTTTAATTTGTTCATGCTTGCAGTCAATGTGACAGAAGTTAAAGCTTTGCATGAGCTCTTCAGGAAATTAAGCAGTTCTTTAGTTGATGATGGTTTTATCAGCAAAGTAAATTCCATCTCTTATTCTTAGTTTCAATAAAGCTAATGAGAGTTGGTGGACTAGTTCATTACATAATTGTAGTTCTCAATTCTTGGATATATCTCAATCATTCAAGGTTGAACATTTGCATTTGCATTTAGAGGTTCTAGTTATGACCAGAGATTTGGGTTTGCAGGAAGAGTTTCAGCTTGGATTATTCAGGAATAACAAGAAGCAGTCTCTCTTTGCAGATAGGGTCAGATTATTTCTTCTATCTGCTTTTTTTTTTTTTTTTTTTCTTTTTTTTTTCCTTCATATATATATATTTTGAATTTGTATATGTTCTTGCACTTTATTTGATGATATCTATATTTTGATTTCTTCTGTTCTTGTAGACCTTCAATTTGTTCGACTCCAAAAAAGATGGTTTGATAGAGTTTGGCGAGTTTGTCAGATGTTTGAGTATCTTACACCCTGATGCACCCCATGAAGAAAAAGTTTCTTGTATGGAAAATTTGCACATTTTATCTATCCTATGCTATGCACTTGTATCTGATGGTGCAGTTATATTTCCAACTATATGATATATGGCAAACAGGCTATATTGAATGTGGAGAGGTAAAGAGTGGACCTAAAAACTCTAGTAACAGAGTATAATTTTGTTTCCTCACAAAGAAAAAGTGATCAACAATCGAATTATGTTTTCAGTTCATCTTGTCGATTGTTGGTACTTTTTTTTTATCAAAGCACGTATTTTTTCAGTAATTTTGATATCTTGCAAAAGATATAGCTCATTCAACTTTCTTCAACCATTTGACTGGATATCTGGAACTAAAATGGTTAAAGGTCAAGGAGATGATTTTGGCTTTCGTACGTGAGTCTATTGGGATCGGATCGGATTAGAATTGATGCATAATCCGATCTGATTTGAGGCCACTCCTAATATGAATGTTAAAAAACATTATTTATTTGTCTAAATTACCCTTTTATTTCAAGGTGCCACTCTTGTACACCGACGTACCACTCTTATGCCTGCATGTACCCTTTTTTTCTTTGGCAGACCAAGACTTTTTTTGTGCAGACCATCCTGATAACCTGATTTGGACAAAAAAAAATGATACCTAAGGGCACTAGGATAGGTGGTATTTTATACAAAAGAGTGATACTTACATAAACAAAAGTGATATTTAAAAATAATAAGATAATTTGTTCTAACTATATTTTATGAAAACATAATTATTTTGACTTCATAAAATGATAAGTAAAATTTCAAAACTCTATGTTTAAACTTTAAACTATCCCAACAGTTTTCGGTTTGGAGTCTTGGGAGACATCGACTTCAAAGAGTCAAAGCAACGACACAGTAGTAAGAACCAATACTGCTATGGATCATTTAGGTGCATTTTAGCAAGTAGAGTTCTACTTCCAAATTTTCAACAAGAAAGTCTATGATTTGGTTAAACTTTGGTTTTATTAATTTTATGTAAGGAGTACGCCAAAGAGTGACGGACCTCACCCTTTCAAAATCTTACTGCCTAAACCTTGTAGAAAATTGAAACTTGCAAGGACATGACATGCAGTTCTGTACTACCTCTGATCCAACTTTCCAAATAGTAGTATCATTGTATTTTATACACTGTCATGTAACCATATAAACCGAAATCATATGCATCTTCGATGAAATTATAGATGAGATCGACCTCTTGTTGGTTTGTGACAATTACAAGCATCATTTTCTTTAAATTAATTGCGAGAGATAGAGAGCTTGGAGGAGAGTTGACAAACTCATGCAGCTATTAGTATATTGAAAGAGAAACATTTGCAACTAAAGAAAAAAGAGGAGGACATCTTCAACCCACTTATTTATGCTAAATAGATTATGATTCTGAGCAGATGATGATACATCTGTTTATTTTTAGCAGACAAACCATTTGGTGGGTTCGATTTGGTTGGTACAGAAATGCCCACATTTTTTTCTAATTGTAATACCAGAACTGGGATTGAAGATAGTCAATAACGTTCTTGTCCAGTCGGAATGCCTTGATTAGAACATCCGGAGAAATGGGTGGTTTCGATCCAAAGACCGCGTTTGCAATGGTGATGACTCCCGGGTTTTGGCTGCTCAGGGCGGCCAAAGCTACTGCATTAGTCTTTCCAACATTGAGTTGGAAGTGAATGAGACCAATTGGGAACACAAAAACATCACCAGGATTCAAGACCTTAGTGAAGAGAGTGTTGTTAGGATTGGAGGTGACGAACCCAACGGAGATGGTACCTTCTAAGACAACAAAGATTTCAGATCCGCGTGGGTGCGTGTGGGGTGGGTTTAGGCCATTTACTCCGAAGTCAATTCGGGCTGCGGATATGCCAAGAGTGTTGAGTCCTGCTATTTGATCAACAGTTACTGGAGTCACTGCTGACCCAACTGGATTCGATGTGTTTTTAGCAATTTGCAACCCTGGATAGAAGAAATCATTGGCTGTGGCCAGCTTCGGGTTCCTGCAAAACTTCCCATTCACGAACACTGCGCAACCAAAGTAAAAGTAAACTTTATCAATAAAATGGACCGAGATATATCCTCTATTATACAACAATAAAGGTTGTGATTGAAACACACATACACGAAGGACTACTATGTATTTCAATTATATATGACCCAACTCCATTAGAATATAGAACATGCCAATTGGAAAATAACGAAATGAAAACCAATTAATGCGGACTACTATACCCTTTCACATAGAAAAACAAGAGCATTCATGCATGTGAAAAGGCAAAAACAAATTAAGACTAATTAGGTCTAATGGGATAATATATGCATATATGTATATCATATATACCAGCTGAATTGGGGTCATTAATGGCAACACAAAAGTCCTGAAGAGGGGCGGGGTCAGAGGCATATGCTAGTGAGAATGCAAAAGCAAAGATAGCTGCGGCCACAAGGAAGTGATTGCTCATTTTCAACTTCTTTGTAGGGTTGCTTGGATAAATCTAGCATTGGGGGGGGTGACTATTTATAGATAGAGGGTACTCTGTTAGTTATTAAGTTTTTTTGTTTACTATTTTTATTTTATGTTTTCTGAGAAAATAAGTTGGTTACGAAGTTATCCAAAAGCTTCATTTTTTATTTTATTTCTTCTTTAAGTCATTTTATTTTATTTTTTCTGAGATAATAAGTTGGTTAACTCTTTTTTTTAATCTCAAGGTCCACTCTTTCTTCAACAACTATCACCCACCTACCATTTATTTTTCCTAATCTTGCATCAACAGGTTTTATCTCCGAAACAATGACTATTTCAATGTATTGAAGTGGTCTTTTTGTTTTCTTTTTCTTTTTCTTTTTTTTGTTTAATCTCAAGATGAAGTCATTTTTTATGGGTTAGCTTTTTTTAATCTCCAGTCTTTTTTTTTCTTCTTCATATATTGTTTCTGCTTTTTTTTCATATATATATATATATATATATATATATATATATATTTCTATTGAATAAATTATTTCTTTTGATGAAAAAAAAAAAAAAAAAACTCTTTTAAAACAAAGTGTTGAATAAATTATTTGTTTTGATTGCACCAAAAAAAAAAAAAAAAAGTCACTAATAAATTATTTCTTTTGACTGCCAAATAAAAAATGGAATAAATTATTCTCTTTGAAAGGACCTCTGAAAAAATAAATATATATAGCACAGGGAAAAAAAATTGTAAAGGAACTAAAGAAGGAAATTTAAAAATAATAATAATAATAATAAAATTATATAAAGAGTAGTTATGGTATTATAAAATAAGGTATAATGTATTAATGAATTGAATGACTTTCTTGTCATTTTTTTAAAAGAAAAAGATAAGTGTATTATTATTATTTTTAAATAATAATCATGATTTTAATTAATTCATTTTGACAATAGTAAACTAGACTTCTATCATTTTTCATATATTGTTCAAGTCAAATGCTCAAAGAATATTCTTTCAAAAGAACACCTAATACATAGGTCATGAGAAGAGGTATGATGTTGCTGTCATCTCATTAATCAATAATTTCCATCGTAAAATATATATAGGTTATTATTTCATTTATAAATATTAGCATATGGACTTATTATTAAAAAATAAAGCAGGTTCCATCGAGGAGGGATTAGAAAATTTTGCCACATAAAATTCACCAAATATGGGTTATGTTGGATTATTTTACACATCCTAAACAAGTCTAAACTGGGCAAATTAATAATCTTAATTCCAAGTTAGTTTCTAGAGAGATTTAAAGTCAAATGCACCATTATATGTAGTTGAGTTTGAATTATTCATAAGCATGCGGTTAGATTTATTGGCAATGCGACTGATTCCTTTCATTAGATTGGAACTCAATATTTTATATGATGGATTTGGTATTCTCTTTTATTTATATTTTTTCTTTTACAAAATCTAAAACTTAATTGGTTATTGATATTAATGAGTTTTGATAATTAGTCCAATTGGTATAAATCACTTACGGGTCCTCCTCGGAAAAGAGATAAGGGTTCGAGTCACTAACATTTGTGGATATATGTAAGTAAAAAAAACTTACTATTTTTATTTTTAATTTTAATTTTAATTTTAAATTTTTTTACATTGACAAGAAACACACACATTTTTGTCTAACTTAAACTCCTCTACTCCTTTTTTAGGATGAGGATGTTATACATTAAGCTACATATTATCTGTTAGAATATATTTTTACAATATTGTAGAATATATTCGAACTATGTATTGTTTTACCATATAAGGTAGGTTTCTTACCCTCTGTACACCTCGTCACCTATATAAATCCCATATATCTTCATATCTCATACATCAATACAATGCAATATAGATTTCTAGCTCTATTTTATATTTAACATGATTTCACGACAACCTGCTACGTCAGTTATTAATTGTGTCTCCATCTTCATCATGGGTGAAAACCCATATTTACCCACAACAACCTGCCACGTCAACTGTTAATCGTGTCTCCATCTTCATCATGGGTGAAAACCCTTCTTCACCAAATCGTTTTCGTCATGCCGATTTCAAGATCTTAATTATTTCTAAATTCATAATAGGTTTATTCAATCCACCTTGATTTTTTTTTTTTTTTTTTTAGAAATTTAAGCAATTGATATTTATGAAAAAGATATACAACGAGGGCTTTAGGCCAAAAACAAGCCCAAAAGGGCAACAAATAAGCCCAAAGAGGGACAACCCAAATACCAAAAGGTAAAAACCCAAAACAATAAAATCGCCATTAATTAATGGTAGATAAGCCGTTAATGGTAAACCAATCCGGTAGCTCAAAGTAGTGATCCGGCGCCATTGTCGGCAAGAATCAATCCGGTGTCCTCGGGGGTGGACGACATAAAAAGGGCGAGAGATCCCAATCACAAAGAATCTTGGTAGAGGCATGGCTTTCCTTCAAGCATCCCAATTTTAGAATGGAAGTGATGGTGGAGCAAATTCGGGTGAGTAAAGAACTTTGTGAAGCGTTTTTCCCTCTGAAAATTCTATCATTGCGCTCTTCCCATGTGTGGTACATAATTGAAGAGAAACAGACTTTGCGAAGAAGATTGATAGCAGATTTAACCTTCCATTGGATACTAATACATTGGATTAGGTTATCCCAATTTTTAATTGGAGAATAGAATCGAGCTTTTTGTTTGATGAATCCCCACAATGGTGAAACAAAACAGCAATTGAAGAGTACATGTTCATGAGATTCCGGTTAAGTATGGCAGAGAACACAAATGTTCTCATGTTGAGCCATTGATTTGCTATCCAAAGTGGGGAGCTTGGACAGAACTGCAAGCTATAGATTAAACTTCATGCGAGGGATAACTCGAGTTTCCCAAACCAGGTTGTGCCAAAGAACTGGAGATTGTTGTTCCATTAAGTAA